CCTGTGCAGATCTCGTCAGGTGAGGCGTACCTGGTCTACACCAAGAAGATCCACTCCAACTCGGACTTCAACCAGTACCTGTCGGCGCTCTACAAGGTCGTGGGCACCTTCCTGTTCGGGGCAGCTGTCAGCCAGTCTCTCACCGAGCTGGCCAAGTTCACCATTGGCAGGCTGCGCCCCAACTTCCTGGCCGTGTGTGCCCCCAAAGTCTGCAATGGGTACATGCCTGAGATCAACTGCACTGGGAATCATCACAATGTCACTGAGTCCAGGTAGGGAGGGGAAGGAGGAGCACAAGACATTGTGCACGGGACTAAAAGCATTAAATTAGCCATAGACGTTTTTAGCTCTGTTATTCTAAAATAGTTGCACAGCTGTTACATTGCCACCCTAAAACCAGCTTAGTGCCGTTTCAGGGTAGTTTTGTTTTAAGGAAAGTTGCCCATACTTGTGTAGTAGTGTATACTTGTGATTGTTTGTGGTAATGAGCATTCAGACACGGGAACAAGAACAAAGCAGATGACTAGAATTGAATGTAGCGCCACCTGGATGACAGGGAGAACATAGCATGCCGAGTGCCAGATTTGATCAGTAACGTGGCCTTTCATGTTTTCCCAGGCTGTCGTTCTATTCGGGTCACTCCTCGTTTGGGATGTACTGCATGCTCTTCCTGGCGGTGAGTAACAGCCGGACAGTTTAGATCGCTCAGAGTCTGTGTGGGGCTGGCGCTCAAGGTCTATCAAGCCAGCCGAGTCGGGGGGTCCTGATCATGGTGGGTGCTCTCAGACCAGCTGCATTGGGGTGTCCTGATCACGAGGGGTGCTCTGATGTCAGGTGTTGGGGTGTCATGATAACAGGGGTGCTCTCTGGCCAGCTGTGTTGGTGTGTCATGATCACGAGGGGTGCTCTGAGGTCAGGTGTTGGGGTGTCATGATCGCAGAGCTGCTCTAAAGGCCAGCTGTGTTGGGGTGTAGTGATTGTGAGTGGGCTCTCAGGCCAGCTGTGTTGGGGTGTCGTGAGTGTGAGCTGTGTTGGGGTGT